GTGTGTGTGTGTGTGTGTGTGTGTGTGTGTGTATAGTGCCCTGAAATGATGTAAGTTGTGACCTGGCGCTTAATAAATAAACTGAATTGAATTGAAAACTAATTTTTTTCCTTCGTACTCCAASTGGACCTTAAAATTTAAAGTCTCAAACATAAATTTGAAATTTGTCTCTCTCTCTACCATCTTCATGAGCAGAAGAAGGACATGGAGGTGTTGCGGGGCTACTTGTCTCTTCACCAAGCTGGGGAAAGTCTCACTCTKAAGTGGACGCCCAACCAGCTCATTAATGGCACTCTGGGAGACTGTGACTTAGAGAAAAGGTAAACCACTGCAGCTCACTGTCAAAGAGAAGCATTTAATCACTGCCCAGACTGATTTGAACGTCAACTACTGGCTCAGAAGTTTCTCTGATTTTCACATATTTTTATTCCTTTTAGCATTTATTGGGACTATGCACTAACTGTTCCTCTGCGACAGATTGTCTGCATCCACTGTCACCAGCGGTGTGAGTATTTTTGTAGTTCCTCTTTCCTTTTCAAATAAAGTGTTTTTAGGCTAAGACCTTTGATGAGGTCAATAGAAGTATTGTAAATAACTTMTGCAGGTTACGCAACTGCCTCATGCCGAAAGCTGTCCCAGTTTGTGGGCTTCTTCTCATCTAGTTAACAAAAGTGGCCCACAAAACCCCGAAAATGAAGGCTGCTTCTGAGCATCCTTCCAGGATCCTTGTGCTGTCAGCAAACTAAACAAAAACAAAAACGGTTGAGTTTTTTTAAGAGTTAGTTTGGAAATTCATTACAGACAGAAGAATTTGTTTTTAAAAACATGTTTAGCAACTTAGCTGATGAAATTTATGCTGCAGTGAAATCTTAAATAAAATGCAATTACAAGTACTGATACTGGCTAATGACACCAGAGGACCAAGATTGTCAGGAGAAATGTCTTTACCAAAGCAGATGACTTCTGTCTTACTTTCATTTAGATTCAGGAAATTTAATTTCAGCCAGAGTTTTGTCATTCAGACAGCTCAGGAGTAATTGGAATGAATTAATCAAGTTTAGTTTAATAGGCAGATAAACCTGGATGTCATCAGCAAAACAATGGAAAGGAATCTTATATTTACTAAAAACAGACCCCAGAGGCAACATAAAAAGATTAAAAAGCAGAGGGTCTAGAACAGAGCCTTGCAGGACCCCACAAGTCAGAGGATCTGTAGAAGAGGAGCATCGGGGAAACAAAGCARCCACTGTTCAAAAGAATGTCCCAACACAGACGAGCTACATCTAATGGCCAGAACTCTGCAGTTTTCACTCATTTACAGGCCAGCGGTCACTCTTTCAGAGATGAGGATGTTCTCATTCTTGATAGAGAGGAACGTTGGTTTGAGAGAGGAGTAAAAGAAGACATTTTTGTGAAGAAAGACCGTCCATCATTAAACAGAGGTGGAGGCCTCCGTTTTCAGCTGTCCCCCTCCTACAGCGCTGCTATTGGCAGTATCACTCCACCCCCTGTTAACAATAAGTGTTAATTAGGTGTCAACGATAGCCATGTGATGTGAGTATCAGTCACATGGAGGCAGGRCTYAAAAGCCTGAATTTWGCCTGAAACTCTCAGACTGAAGAAGTCTCTTGGAGGAGAGACGAAACGTTTCATTARAGAAGAACCGTCCAGAGGACCTATACWATTTTTTTCTTTTTGATTTGTTACCTGGATTACTGAGATGCATCAGGACAAGAGGAGCATTCTCCTAATTGAACAGAAAAACTCCTATTTGTCGATTTAAAGCAGGATAAAACTGTGCCTTTGACACCAACCAGCTGCTCTAGTTGTGACAGTAAGATGTTATGATCAATGGTATCAAAGGCAGCAGAAAGATCTAAAAGCACTAAAACAGCAGAGTTTCCTGAATCAACTGTCAAAAAAAGATCATTAAAAACTCTTAAAAGGGTTGTTTCAGTGCTGTGGCAGGATTTAAAACCTGAGTGRAACAGTTCACCTATATTATTGTCTGTCAAAAGACCTTGGAGTTCGATAAAAACAACTTTCTCCAAAACCTTTGACAAAAAAGACAGTTTTGAAGTTAGTCTAAAGTTTGTGAGAGCTCCTGGATCTAGGTTTTTCTTCTTTGTAGGGGGTTGGACCACAGCATGCTTAAAAGAAGCTGGGACACTGCCTGATGGGTGACATTAATCAGAGAGACAACAGTTGGACCAATAGTATGAAAAATGCAGTGATGGGCATCACTAATCTAAATATTAGTTGCACTAACCCTAAAGCACAAACTTAAATATTTAGGTCCCCTTATTCTACAGCACTAACACACTGAAAAATTTAGCAAAAGCTAATTCTAAAGCACTAATATAATCCAGTTGACACACCATTCTTCAAGTCAATATGAGACAATATTTACTGTGTGCAGAATGTTGTCACTTAGTGCCCATGGTGGGCCCAAATGGGAGTCATCCGCAGGCCACATTTGGCCCATGGGCCTTGAGTTTGTAGATAAGTGAAACATGAACAAAATGTGAGACAGCTTTTACCCTCAACTGTGAACAATAAAATTGATCAGTAACATTTAAAGACCTCAGTTAGTGCTTCTAAATTTAACCCAGATATTTAGCAAGTGCTAACCCACTAAYGATTTTAAAAATAGTGAAAGCCCTAAAGCACTAATTAGGAAATTAACTCCCCTATTAGTGCTTTAGGGGAACTGTGCCTACCACTGGAAAAATGTCCCTATAAAGACGAGAGGGAACAATGTCCAGTGGTGAATTGGTGGGTCACATTCACTGCACAACGTCCTTTAAAGCAGAAAAAGACACCAGCTCAAAGTAGTCAAAAGCAGCTACACATAAAGGTGGTGAAGAAGGGTCAATGTCACTGTCACCCTGATCTGATATATCAACACATTCAGCTCATTCAGGAGTTAGGTGCTGAGATTTCTGATTGTTTTTAGTGGTTACACTTTTCAGAATGTTAAATATGGTATTTTATGTACAAATACTTTATGCACCCATTCTACACTGTTTTACCTGTAGGCGACACCAGATACTCTCATCATTACTTTATTCACCCTTTTATAAATTAGACTCATATACACCATCAAATACACAGTGTGAGATCGTAAGATTCAGGGAACCCCTCTTCTTCATCTCTTGCCTCAGTTGCCTGCTGGTRATTTTCTCTGTTTGAGTTGTGCTCAGTGTTGTGCTATGATTAAAGGTAATGTGCTTTTACATCCTCACACAGGTAAAAACGTCTCTATTTTACACACAATCACTTGCCAGACAAAATATGTTGGGTATTGAATTGTCCTTGTGGCCTGGCCTATGTAGGCAAACTACAAGAGATTTAAAAATCAGGTTTTCAGAACATAAAAGCAAAATTCAAACTAAAGATTAGAGATCTCCTGTTGCCAGACATTTTATGACAGCTGGTCGGGATATTTGCTCCTTGAAATTTCAAGGCATAGAAGTTGTTCCTCCTCTCAAAACAGGAGGTGATAGAGACAAACTTCTGCTACAATTCTGGATCCACTCTTTACAAACTGTTAACCCTAAAGGACTTAATGAAGAAACGGCGTTGAACTGCTTTCTGTGATTTTTGTCCTTTTTGTAAAAACATTTTTGTAACTTTTCTGTGATTTCATGTATTCCTATATATTGTGTATTATTGAAGTCTACTAGTTGTGCATGTTAGTCACAGGTGTTTCTTTTTTTGGGCTGATTGCCCAACCTGTCTTTGATTGGCTTAGGTGTTTTTTTTATCTCTTTATATAGATTTGTAGTTTGTCTGACCTGTAACAAGTTGACGACAGCATGTAGCCAAAACGCATCCTGTTTTCTGCCCTTATTAAAACAATAGTATTTTTTGGAGTGCTGGTTATCCCATTTTTTCACATCCGCTGAATGGACAACAACCTGGTGGTAGCCCCAAACTACGCCCACCTTTGAAAAAATATGTTGCCCCAGCCAGATGGACAGAATAATCCTGAATGTGAGGGACTGGGTACTTGTTGTTACTGGTAGCGTTAGTCAGGCAACGAAAATCCCCACAAGGTCACCAGCCCCCGTTGGCCTTAGGAACCATATGCAAGGGACACGCCCATGGACTCTTAAGGCCCCCACATACTCAGAATCAGAATCTTTATTGTCATTCACATACAACATCAATATGCAGTGCAGAACCAAATTTGCAGTTTAGAACATCTGTCCGGAGAAACACACACATGAAAAACATGTGGGAAAGAAAATCCAGGGACTTTCACAACTTTGTGCGCTACCTTGCAGTTTAGAATACACACACAATAGGAAGGGTGAGTTAAAAAAGAGCTTTGATCCTGTGTTTTACACATAAAAACACACAAATATATGCTCAAAAAAACTACTCTGCTAAACAGTGCAGACAGCTAAGGAGGGGAGGGGGATGGGGGGTCCAAAAACACATGGTATGGGGAAGGATTCAGCGGAGCCGGTGACATCCAGGGTACAACTCCATGCTGGAGCCGATCAGAGACCTCCAGAGTCCAAACCAGTTGTTATCAGTCGAAGCACAAGTCACTAGAGTTCAGTTCTCTGTCTCCACACAACGCGGCCTTCAGACCGATCCACGCGCGGGTGAAACGKGTGAGGATGGGAGGTGGGGGTGTCAAGGCTTCCTTCTCACATGTCATTCCAGGGAGGTTTTATCAGCTTGCGTCCGAGGTCACAGATGCAGGGATACAATAATAAACATAATTGTTTTAGGTCCGAGCAGCCTGATTTCACTGCTTTGACTCTTAACTGCATCCCTGTGCTGCGAAAAATGCCAATGTTCCAGATACGTTTACTATCTCGCCTCTCCCGTATGAAACTTCACCCAGGTGTAGCTTCACTCCTCACGGGCACGCTGCTGAGCTGTGATCCTCGTCAGAGTCACATCCAGTCTGTGACTTATATCCCCCATCATTTGAGTCTGTGCGTTCACAGTACGGGAGATCCCATCCAAGGTCCCTGACAGCTTCTCACAGGTCTGGACTGCTGTCAGGATCGTTTTCATTTTCTAATAAACCAGGACTCCTCCACAGCCAATCAGCAGGAATCCGATGATCATAAATCTGAATATAAAAACATCTTTGATGTCTTCAATGGAAACCAGGACCAGGCAGACTAGATTCCACCCCCAGCTCCCCGACACTTGCCCAGCCGCCACGGTTCCACTGGGACAGCTGCGCTCCCCTCGCTTTAATCACAGTGTGGAAAAAATAGTGTCGATTGCATTCAGAGACCAGTTGACCAGATCCATAATTCTTTTGTTATCGAATGATGCGTGGCAGGAAGGCTTGACCCAGCTGCGAAGCAGGCAAAAGGACAGGTTCGGGAGAGAGAACAAAACGCGTCTGACTCCTCTGGAGGCTGCGCAGACTCGTGGCGGACGTCCGCCGGACTGGTCCGCGTAGAGATCAATTTTTTACATTCGCATCCGCGGTGAGCACAATGGCATGTACTGTTTTGGATGTAACACCATGCTGATAAAGTTCAGACTTGGTGTCATTTGTGGACGAAATGGAGTCAAATTTTGAAAAGCATCTCATGGAGGACATTAGAAAACTTTCTGACATGTCAATGAAGGAATATATTGTTTTAAAGCTAAAATGAAAACTTTCTATTCCTCCAGATCCTTGACATCATGACTGAAATTGCAAGAAATTAAAGAATACGTCAGGCGGTCAGTACGCTCGAGTATGAAGTCTCAAACATCCGCGGACAAAATGCGCAGAGTCCAAGCGGCTCATGGGCCGCACACAGTGAGCTCGAATATGTGGGAGCCTTTAAAGCGACACACAATGTCTAAACACTCCATGAAGGCAAACTCCTCCTTAGCTATCGCCAACCAAGTAGCAACCAGTCATCATGCCAGTGCAAAAAACGGAGGGCACACTTTAGGAATAAGATGCTCTACCCCATGTTTAGCTACAGTCACTGAAAAGGCGGGGACCATGAGTGCAGGAAACTCAGCCAGCAAACGGTGATATCCATCACCTGTATCTAGCATGTTAGCAAGGGGACAATGACTGGGACCCCCAAGCTTATAAGGGTAGGTGTCAAAAGACACAACATCAATTAAGCAGCTATTAGCAATGTCCACTAATAATCTAAAAGCACAAAAAAAAATCAGCATCCAGAATAGCAACTGATACAGAAGCTATTACAAAGTCTCAGCTAAACAGACCTCATTGAAACACACATCCACCAACCTCGATCCAACAGTGCGACGCGGGGTGCCATTAGCAGCATCCAGTCTGTCTTGAGCTGCAAAAATGCTCCTGACGCATGTTTTTGGCTGCTTGTCAACAGATGTCCGTTCACACAGAACGCGTCTGAAGACACACAATGGGAGGAGCGTCTTTGTTTGTTTTCCGGTCTGTTGATGGTTGAAATAAGATACAATAAAGAAAATGGCTTTGCTTTATTTACTAAAAAGCAAGTGAATGTTGTGCACAGCAGATAAATAATTCACCAGATAATTCAGGCGGTTTGTTCGGTTTCGTCACTCCAGGAGCTGCGAGCTGACAGACATTTTTTTGTCCCGAGCTCAGCGAGCTGCTGTCTCATCACATTGGTGCTGATATCTCCTGCCAGAACACCAACTGCAGACGGCTGATTTCAGCTAAAGGCTCCTGTCAGTCTGTCAGGTTCATGAAACCGTCATGTGAAAAAAAAATCCCTCCCGATTGGTTGCTGCTGCGCGTCGAGGAGCCAAAGTTCATTTTGTTGAACTCGAGCAGCGGCTGCTTTGGACGTGCCGCATGCAGGGAAAATGCTCTTCCGCATCTTACCGCTACGTTGCGYGCTGCTCTAAACTGGCAAAATAYGCCGCTATGTGCTGCGCTGCTCCTAGATGCGCGTCCACCATGGACTTTGCATGTAAACTGGCTGCTTTGGCTGCTCAAAACGCGTTTGTTGGGAACCCGGCTTGACCACAATRCAAGAAAAAAAAGTCAGAGACTCGTCACTCGACGTTTATCCACAAACTGGTTCTGGATTAAGCTCCAAAGTTTTTATCAGTCAGATTCCACTGTGAAAAACGTCAGTTTTATCACCTTTTATGATTTTTTGGCTGTCTGATTATCTTTATAAATCTCTGCTTCCTGGTACAACAGATAGATCTGAAAGCGAGTCACCTTTTTTTAAGCGAGCAGGTGAAGCAAAATGCAGCGTCTGTGCGCTTTCAGCACAAACACTCCTATGAGCGTCTGACCTGCCTGCTTCATTCCTGGTGTTGTGAGAAGTCTGTAGCAAGCCCTCTATCTTCCTCCTCACACACAGACTCAGCTTGGAAATGCATAAACAGATAAGCCAAATCAGTGCTTCACAAATGGGGCATTTGAGTTAGCAACACAGTGGTCATGCCCCCTATTGTGATCCAGCCATATGTATGTGTATTTTAGTGTAAGAAAAACTGTACTAAGTGTGGCTTGTGCACTTTATGGAATGCATGTGTGTCTCACAGTCTATGTGTGAGACTTGAGAGCCCTGCAGTTATCTCTTTGTCTCTTTACCTTCCAGCTGATTGTGGGGGGACATTGGTTCTTGTTAGTCAAGATGGGATTCAGCGACCACCCCTGCACTTCCCACCTGGTGGACACCTTCTGGCTTTCCTGTCTTGTCTGGAAACAGGCCTGCTACCACGTGGTCAACTGGAACCTCCCCTCTGGTCTCAGAAAGGCAAGGTAACAGCAAACATATTACGTAGTAAATCATTGTTCTTTGCTTTTTGCTACACTAGGAATGTCTGTAAAATACAACCCCTGGCAAAAAATATGGAATCACTCAATTCTGAGGAGAAAAAAGTATGGAATCACTCAAATTGGAGGTAGAAAATAAGGACACACCCAGTCAGTTTCCTTTCCCTAAATGGACACCTGCCTCAGATTAGATCTCTGGTCAGTCTGCAGTTAAAAACACCTGCAGTCATGACACCTTGGAGGGCTGCTGGACCAAGTGGAGTGGACAGAACCATGGCTCCAACAAGAGAAATGTCTCTTGAAACAAAGAGAGGATTGTGAAACTTCTTGAAGAAGGTAACTCTTCACACGTGGTTCCTAAAGATGTGGGCTGTTCTCAGTCAGCTGTATCCAAGATATGGACCAAATACAAACAGCATGGAATGGTTGTTAAAGCCAAGCGTACTGGTAGACCAAGAAAGACATCAAAGTGTCAACACAAACAACTTAAGACCATTTGTCTTGAAAACTGAAAAAGTACAA